ATAAATTCTTCACGAATTTCATTCCGTGTACTCTGGTAGACAGTAACTATGACTCGCATACAGGTGCGCGAACGATATGCGCAGATGTCAGAATTTGAGAGAGGTCGTGTAGTGGGATCAAAGAAGCCGGTTGGTCTTATCGGCGAATAGCTCGACATTTGAGCAGGAGCGATGCCACTATTAGACGATTTTGGCAGGAATGGGTGAACCATGGCCTCACACTTCGTCAAGAAGGAAGCGGTAGGCCTAGAGAAACGACAGAACGTGAAGACCGAGCAATCGTCAGAGCGGCACACACAGCCCCAGATGCATCATTATCATCGATTGTTCGTGCAACTAGTGCTTCAGTGACCGCAAAGGACCATTCATAGACGGCTCACAGAAAGGGAGCTGAGGTCACGGCGCCCCTTGCGCCGACTACCACTGACCTCTGTACAACGTCAAGCCCATTTGCAGTGGTGTCGGACTCATTGGCACTGGAATGTCACTGACTGGAGTAAAATAATCTTCAGTGATGAGTCCGGCTTTGAACTGAGCACGGATGACCAGCGAAGGCGAATCTGGAGACACCGCGGACAGCGGTGTGACACCGACCTTAGTGTCTTCCGGCAGACAGGCTGACAGCCAGGAGTGATGATCTGGGGTGCCATTTCTTTTCATAGTAGGACCCCTTACGTTGTCATCCGTCGCAACCTTACAGCACAGCGGTACGTCAACGAAGTTCTAAGATTCGTTGTGTTTCCCTTCATATCACGACCCCTGGGCTTACATTTCAGCAAGATAATGTCCGCCCCCACACTGCACATGTTTCTACTGCTTGCCGAACATTACCTTGGCCAGCAAGGTCGCCGGATCTCTCTCCTATTGAGCGCGTTTGGAGCATTATGGGTAGTGCCCTCCAACCAGCTCGGGATGTTGACGATCTAACGCGCCAATTGGACAGAATTTGGCACGATATCCCTCAGGAGGACATCCGCAACCTCTATCAATCGATGCCAAGACGAATAACTGCTTGCGTAAGGGCTAGAGGTAGACAAACACGTTACTGACTTCTTCACTTTGTGAAGCTCTACGCTTCAATAAATCATCCAATTTTTCTCAAACTGTAATCATTTGTGTTTCTGTACATGTACATCACTTCTACTGATTTTCGTGCGATTCAGATAAATCCTTATTGGTGCGTTTTGTTTTTTTTTCTTTTGGTCTAAGAGTGTATATTATTTTAAATGCATTTCTCACGAGAAATATGTATTCCATTAATACATTTCTCTTCGTAATAATATAGAGTTAAAATGTTAATAAAAATGTGTGTAATGTCATCTATTTTACAATTAAAGGAAGTTTTATTGGTGATATTATTAGAATACCGTGAGTAGAGCTATCTATTCGAATGCTGAAATGGGGATTCAGGAGGGCAAGAGGATTCCCATGTCTCTGCGTATTTGCTCTCTCACCATTATACATACATACGTATGTGTGTGTGTTTTGAATACTGCTAAGTTTAACGTAGCATAGTAGCAACTTCGAAGAATTTACTGCTAGCAACTGTTTACTATTCTTGCGAAATAAATTAAAAGACGTAATTTTCTATACACTATATACTATATATATTTGCTATTTTTCTTTATTTCCGTTTACAAGGTATTTTCATCCTCCTTTCATCATGCCTTCTGGGTGTAACGGTAGCACACTTGACGCGTATTCGAGAAGTCCAGGTTCGAGTCCCGGTGAGGGCATTGCTAATTTTTTATGTCTCCTGCTTCAAAGGAAACCTAATGACTCCATACTATTACATATCACCTCTAGGTATTCAGCGCTAATAAAACAATATTATGGAGGTATATTTTAAAAATATACTAGCAACAGGCGCTTTACAGAAAAGATATTTTACCAAACTTCATTATGCTTCCATCCTCAAAGAATTGAAAGTACACAAAAACATATATTTCTGAATACAAGGTTAGAGGCTAGTTTGAGAAATTAGTTTTTAAGATTTGGTTTCTTTTATTTTTTCCTAAAGGTCGTCATTATGGCAGTAATATTATTGGTTATAAAATTACGCAATCACCATACAGGATTGAATAGGTTCTAAGTTCTGTCGTTTTATTTTTAGCGTCAAATTATGAACTGCGTCACCGAAAAGAGGTCGATGCCTCTAACTGAAAGATGAATGTTTTGCTTTGCGTACTTCACGAGTTTCATTTCTAAAGATGAATGACGTAGAACTGAAAACATTAAAATTTATTTTCCCTTCCACATAATCACAAAAATAGGTCAAATCTATCACGAATATGTTTCATTACAAAGACCTCATGCTTTCAAATGTATGCACATAATTTTCATTCTATTTAACAAAATATTATTTACTTAAATAGAAGTTTATTTAGTTAAGTTATTGAATGAAATTACCGCTCTAATAAAAATTATAATTTATTAATATTTTAAGGTGTTTCGTAGACGAATTCGAATCACGCTGCTAAGGGTAGGCTAATAATAAGCGAATGTGAACCAGAAATATCTTTAATCGCAGAAATCACTGTCGAAAAATACATCGGCAACCAGAGTTGTTTTGAATTTAAATTAACACATTCATAACATAAAATTTTTTTTCATGAAAATAGCTGATTTTACTGGTTATTGAAATTCATTTTTTAAACATACATGTGAATGTTTACTCTTAAAAATATCTGAAGAAAACACTCTTATCTAAAAATGCTTTTTTTTAACTAATAATTATGTTTTGGGGCAAACATTCCTTATACAACGAGTTGTTGCTGTAAACAAACCATGCAACTATTTTTGCTGCTTTGCAATAATAAGCAATAATGATATTCTACATATGAATTTCTTTTATTTAAAAGATGCTTTTTCTGTCAGATAAATGGAATAGGCCTTCATTTAATCTTGTTTTTAATCACATATGTGCCCTTTTAACGAAAAATATGTTTTTTAAAAATTAGCACAAGCATCAAAAAATATTTTTCATTAAGAGGAAATGCAAAATATTGCCATGTTTTCCACGAAAATTTTAAAAGCGACAAAAAGTCTAAAACATTTATAGTTCAACTATTAAATAAGCTTTGAAATAATCTAAAAATCTTTTAAAAGTTAAGATCAATCCACGAAAAAAGTACAATACAACAGAGCTTATTTAAAAAAAAAAATACGAATAAACCATGCTTATTGAATTAAAGCATTAATTAATATTTCATTTGAAGGAATCTGTTAAATTTATTTATCGTTTTTGACTCATTAATGTAACCTATTACGCTTTCCGGTTCCTAAAACAATTTTTCAGTGCCTTCTTTGGTCCCCTTCCTACGATTCCTCCCCGCCACATTACCATAGATTTAATTATCGCAACAGTAAGATCTTCGTTTACTGTTATCCTAAAGAACAAGTCTTTTACGTAATTAAAAAATCGCTTCCTTTTCCTGACACTAATCGAGAGATGATAATCTGCAGTGCTAATTTCATTCTTTGTGTGCATTTTCTCTATGACTATTTTCATTAACATCACTGAAAGTTTCTTGATATAATTAAAAAGGAAAGCATCATGGCAAAAAAGCTCTCGCAGAATTTTCATCTGACTTTCGAAATCATAAACTTTTCCTTCCCCTTTTTTTCCATTTAGCTGTGTCAGCTCTCCTTGTTAGTGTCTAAAGCAATTATCATTCCTAAAATTTTAATTGCAAAAACTAACTTTGTCATATTTACAAGTATATGATAGAGATCAAAATGTAATGTCAACTTACTTTCCACTCTGATTTGAATGAATTTTCTATGACATTCTGAACATATTCAAAACAAATAAAGGAAAAGAAGGCAGAATATGTATTTTACACAAAAATTGTGCTTTTAGCTTGCCAATCATGATATTCGGTGATTCTTTTCCTAGTTAGAAATTTTATTACGTATGTGATGAAAAACACAATACAGTATAAGGTGATTTTCCAAACTAATTTTCATGAACTATAAATCATAAAAAATTTGCGTGGTTTAAATTGTCGATATTTAGAAGCTATTAAAACAAAGAAAGGAAAAAGAATTCAGAACAAGTACTATAACACTATAATTATGCTTTTAGCTTGCCAATTATGATATTTAGTGGAACCTTCCCAAGTTAGAAATTCTATTTTGTCAGAAAGATTTCTGTGTGATAGTATAACTTGGACTAATAATTATACATAATAACTCCTTCTTGTGCAAACGAATACTGGATGAGGTATTCATTTTTAAAGGTTATTTAAGAAAGTCAGATTTTTTTTAAATTATAATGAAATATTCAAACGCATCAAATTTCAAATCCAAGGGAACTGTTGTATATATATCGTTGAGATAATCTGCATGATTAAATAAATCAGATATTTTATCATACTTGATTAACCGGTTAATAAAGCTTTAACCCCACAGCAATCAAGGTTCATAAATATGAAACTATACGTCCTAGTGCAATATACGAAACAGATCTCAGCAGTAAAAATTCCAAAGGAGACGGCAGAGGACTTCATTTCGAACACAAAAGATCACTAAATTTTAGAATCTAAACAAGTTATCTATTCTACTTAACGATAACTGTACAAGAAAATTAAATTACAAAACACGTTTGCGCCTAGATAAAATGTTATCTGATTGTTAACCCTGCGTCCATACATTTTTAGCTATTACTCCTTTAAAACCTTCAGAGCTGATGATAAATAATACAGAAATGCTCTATTATGAATCAGTGTTGATAACTCTATCAATAAAAGAAAAAGCCAACCTTTTAAAATCATACACTAATTGCTTTGTGCGTACTGATAGTGTTATCTCCGATATTACTTACCGCAGATACTATGCAAACAAAAAACATGACAAACATACCTCGAAGACTTTACCATTAATAGATAACCAAAGTTAAATATAAAAATATAAAATAAGCGAAAATTTCAGAAGGAACTATCTTTCAGAAATATTCTGGCTGACATTTTGGTGACGCATATGAAAAATAAATTACTTACTTTTCGAAGGCATTGCTTGAGCTCAGAATGGCGAGGAAATGTTTACACTACACGCAGCTCAAAACTTTTATGATTCTCTTGCTGCCATGACTTTCCAGAAGGCCAATTTCCTTTCCAACAAATTACTTATTCAGAATGCTCGGAATTTAATCTTTTCATTGGCTGACACTTCAACAGCGCAATCGCTTCATTCAAAACTCTGCTAACGTAAACAAATTCCAATCTCTTTCAGCAATCTCTTTTCCTTAGGTTAATCTCTACTTCTGAAACAATCTACAACTGAAAATGGGTCTGTAGAAATATATACTGTTAACGTTTTTCCTTCTGTACGCACTTCCAATACTCAAAGTAATGTAATATAGGTGGCTAAGCTACATTACACTTCCCCTCTCCACGTAAATAAAAAATAAGAAAAAAAAAAAAAAAAAAACCCTGATCGCACATAAATTTGTTATTTTTTATGAAATATTTCTTCTGGGCTTTTGAAACTAATGCGAACTTTCTGATAATTACTTTTATTTTTAAGTCACAATGTAAAACAATCGTATTTTAAACGATCAACTGTTCTGCATTACACGGGCAATACAGTAAAGCACACATACATAGACCTACACGGGACCGCTCAACAAGATCGTATAAACAAAGAAAAGACGTTAAGTCGAAATTTCAATTAAAGGATGTGATATGTGTATTTTAGCTAAAGAATTTCAGTGTTATTACTTTTACACAAGTGCTATCATACAAATTTCTTTTCCTTCCTGTACTTAAAATACTGTCTATATTTTTAAAAGTTCTGATTCATTTTTAAAATCATAAGATTTTAAAATGCATGATATTTAATATAAAAATGAGACTGACTGCATCATCATTACAGTTGCTCATCTTGAGATTTCTTTTAATAATGATGCAAATTTTAACATTTCTTTAAAGAAAAAAAATCTTCATGGCTATCCTGATGTGATGTTTTATTTTGAGTCTTAACCAAAGCATTAAGAGTTTATAAGTCCAGCTAAAACATGCTTACCAAATAACCGGAGAGTGAAGTGTCTCCCATCAGCAAACCTGTCGGGTCAACAGGCAGACTCCATTATCTAGTTTCAACTGCGAAAAGAAACGTTGATGAATAACTCAGTGAAAAACTACGTATAACCGAAGTAATGCACCATGTACGTAAAATATAAGGTGTCAGAAAAAAATTTACCCTTTTCTTTATTTTCTTCCTAGGTGTCCAGTGTTTTGTGCTGCGGAATGCGCAAAGATAGCGACTGTTATCATAATTCAACGCAACTTTCGGCGACAGTTTGGCGTCGATCCACCGGATAAAAACGTCTAAAGCGTTGCCATACACAACTCATGGCGACAGGTTGCCTATGCAAAAGTAAAAGCATCGACTGTTCTCTGCATTCAGAGGAGACAGTGAATAGAGTTCGGCAATTCTTCCAACGCAGACCCAGGAAGTCAGTTCGGAAAGCGAGCCGTGAATTAGCACTGCCCGCTCAACCACGGCAACAATAAGAACTATTATTAACCATGGCTCAACAGTTTAGAATCTTCTTCGTAAGCGTTTGAAATTCAAGGTTTAGAAGCTAATACTTGTGCAGACCCTCACTGAAGGTGACAAACAGCTTTCGCACTGTCATCAGTGTAGACATGTTGGGATTCCTTGAAATGCTGATTTTGGGAGCCTTTTTTAGTGAGGCGACTTTCCATATCAACGGCAAAGTCAACAGACATATGTTCGAATTTAGGGTTTAGAACACCCTCGGCGAATCATTCAGCATGATATTCTTCAGAGTTGAACGTCTTCGCTGCTATATGCAGAAGGAAGTTTTATGGGCCAATTTTCTTCGTAATTGTTACCGGACGCTCGTATCCTAATATTCTCCAGGTTGGTTGATGGCAAAACTTGACAAGGAATAGCACGATTTCACTTTCCAGCAGGATGAAGCTCCACCTCATTTCCAAATTAACGTCAGAGGGTATCTGAATGAACATCTTCCACAACGTTGAATGGGGCGCGCTAAGCCTGATGATAAAGAGTTGTTGAGATGGCCCCGAGGTCTTTAGACATGACACTATGAGACTTCTTTTAGTGATGTTTTTATCAAAACCAAAGTTTTTGTCTCTCTGTTGCCTCGAGATGTGATGGAGCTGCAAGAGCGGATCACAGAAGTCTTTGCTGTCGGTTACAAGAAACATGATTATTTGAGTATGGGAGAAATGAACGATCGGCTAGATATCTACCATGTCACGAAGGAAGCCCATATTCAGTCCTTGTAAAGCATCCATTACCTTACTTTTAGTAGGTAAGATATTCTAATATCACATCAGGGGAACAGAGAATATTTTTCTGAAAAGGGTGCATTCTTTTTCGGACACCTTGTATATTACAATTAACATCAATGGATATGAGTGAAAAGAGAAATGCAAAGACGCATAAATGAGAAATGTATAAAGAATTCTTCCTTGTATACTATACTGGAAATATATATGAACATTGGAATCTTGAAATATGCGGATATGAATTAAGTGGCTATGCGATATGAATACGTGGATTTGAATACTCAGACTTTGTTTTCATTAAATAAAATGGAAAAAATTTTAGAGATTTCTAATACTTTAAATAATTAGTTGACAGGGTTAGATTAGATTATTTTAATATAGCAAAGCACACGATGGCTATATGTCAAAGGGAAGGGGTGCTTTCATGGAGAACTTTCTGAGAAAAACTGAAGCGTATTCACGTTGCACATGTGATAAAACCACGAAAACAAACCGTGCAGCTATCTTGTTCCTCTGGGTTTGAACCCGGTCGAACCACCAGCATTTAACCGTCTTAATTACTCGGCCACGGTGGGGGTCAACTAGCTGAAAAACCACGCAACTTATAAATATCGGAAGATTTCGAAAGTTTAAGTATACCATGAACTGACAAAATGTATGTGGCTACTAGTCTGTTTTATCCTTTACGCGCACAAAGCGAATGAGAATTGGTCACGAGAAGTTAACATTTTGCCAAGATATTTTGCCATCAGAATTTAAATAAATAAATAAATAAATAAATAAATAATAAATAAATAAATAAATAAAAAGTATATTTTTTTTATAGTGCTACTGACAATGAAGGAAATGTAAATGAAAGTAAAGACAAATCGTATCTGCGTAAAATCAACAGTAAGTCTAGTAAGTCTATACTTAAGACATTAGCGCTAAAGCCTGGATCCCCGACCTGAGGAATGACCATATAGGGTCTGCCAAACGGGGTTTAAATGTATCCAAGCCTCAGAGAACCCTTTCAACGGTGGCGCAGACCCCACAGTCGAAGGCCGGCTTTCGACAAAGTCTTGGACAAGTTGCCAATATGAAACGCTCAGACAAAATTAAGTTACGAAGTCATCTTTGCCTCAGAGCACCACTCCTTTGGCATCGAAAATCGAAAAGGCTTGGTGCCTTGCCCCCTCTGTCAATCCCCGTCACTGACACTATGGAGGCCAAATCCCCGTCGATTAGGTCGGTGATCTCCAATCTAGCTCCACCACAAACAGAGGAACGGACACGACAGCACCAGTACGGTCCCTGCCAAGCCTGAACCAACCTGAGAATAAACTCGGACTCTAGTCCTGTGAAGATAGATTATATACCCCCGTGGTTGAGACTGCCTAAGTACAGATCCTAACCAGTACTTCCCAGGAATTCTCCCGAGTCAACCCCCGGGGGGGCTAAAGACATTATAATACATTATAATAGTTACATTGCTACCTATTGTCACTAGTAGAGTGATGAGTTCGGGTGTTGAGAAAGCTGTTTAAAATGTCGTAAGACGCCTGTTATGTCCTTCTGTATGATTCATTTTACTGAACGTCCGACGTCAATCCAGTAAAATGAGCACCGCAATAAAACGTGATTTTCCGCGGTTCTCGGCTTATTTCCGCTGTGCTTAGTATACTGTTGAAAACAACAACAGTACATAATTCAGGCACAAAACACCTCTAGTTATGCTTGCATTTCTTCCAAGAAGAGGAGAAAAGTCATGATTATCAATGTGCCACAAAAATTTTATGACGATTATGATGATTCATTGATGAAAGGCAGGATTTCTGAGATATAATCGCACTGAAAGCAATCATATTATCACTGCTTTGTTATCAATGCATAAATCTTTGTACCGGTACACAAAAATTTAGCTTATTTTATTACATAAATTTAGCATATAATAGATACTGTATGCAAAATATATGTTACTCTGCTGTTTTCTTTATCGATAAGAATTTGGATCAACAGCAGGATGTCAACTGTAAATATTTTGAAAATACATTGACGATGAACATGCGAACACCACGAATCTATCTGTGCGTAATTTAATCATGAAATGTACTTTTTTCACTTAAATATCATTGGAATGAATAAAAAAAAAAAAAAAAAAAAAAAAAAAAATGCGAAAAATGATACACCACACACATAAAAAAAATAAGGAGCTTAGGGAAAGGGGGAAAATCCAAAATTAAAGAAATTTGGTTTCAGTTCTAATGAGAATTTCCTTCAGTATCTTAATGCGAGAGATTATTTTATTGAATTAAATGTTAAATCAGAGATTTCCGAACTTTTGGGGACGCCGTGTTTAATTAACTAAGAACGAATAATGTTTTTTTTTTTTTTTTTTTTTTTTAAGTATTTATGACTGAAATTTCAGTGAAGTATTTCTTCTATACGCTTTTCTGTTGCAAAAAGCTTTTTATTCTGTTGTAAAAAGCTTTAAGCAACTTTTTGCTGCTCCTTTTTTTTTTTTTTTTTTTCCTGCTATTATGTGCTTTTATGGTTTAATGGCACATCAACCAGACAATGTGAAAGTCCAACTTTGAATCCAGGCGTTATGAAATGATATACTTTCCGATGATATTTCTCCTGATAAAGACATTCCCCCCCCACTATAAAATTTATCTACATATTTTCTACTTATAACTTTCAAACACTAATCACCGAATAGTGGACTCGAATATCTAAATGGTTGTCTATACTTTGAGGCGCTCTGTATGCATGACTTAACTCAAAACTTGAAATGAGTTATTTTATACAGCTAGGTTTTGATCTTTTTTA